GTTGAGGAAGCAAGGGGCAGACCAACACAATCAAAGGGTGACTGGTGAAAATGCAGTCGGTTAGGAGGTCACGGTGAGTGGGGGCAGTTGGAAAAGTAGTGGCAGGTAAAGGGTATCCAAGTGTGTAACATCCATAAAATTCATGAAAATTTAAAACTTTTTCAAACATCCAAAAACCATTATTTATTACAAAATGTTTTCAAAATAGTTTCATATCAGAATATCCCATAAATCAAAATCATAAAATGTGAGGAGGTGCACGATCAAACCTTCGCCTTCCCACGATCATCCGAAGTACCTGAAACAAAATCCAAAATTGTAAGCTTGAAGCTTAGTGAGTTCCCCTAAAATATCAATGTCATAAAAGCCATAACCATACCATAACAAACAAACATCATGCATATAGAGTCTTCGGTATGAATGGACCACCCTCATCAGGCCTTCAGTCTATCTGGCCCACTCTCAAAACCTTCAGCATGGTTGGTCCGCCCTCCCGGGCCTTCAACATGTCTGGACCGTTCTCCGAGCCTTCAGCCTGATTGATATGCTCTAATGGGTCTGTATTCTATACGATCTTCCCTAGGTCTGTTGGCCTTTAGCACAAAGCAGGTCTGCCTCAACCAGACCACACATATACAATCAACACATAAATATCATACGCTAGCTAGCATGCACACACAGTCAAACTGATCTAACATATGACAAATCATAGTATCATCCTATATACTAGGATACCGACCTAACAGGTCACTAAGCATATCATCATGCAATAACCAGGATAACAATTCAAAAAGGACTTGCATTGGTGCATTCGACCCTGTTAGTATAGTGAGGACAACTCACCTCACAAGTAGTGCTAAAATCAAGAAGATCAAACTCCAACTCTCGGATCCAAACTCAACTGCCTGTAACTATCATACAACTAATTCCATTAAAATCTCAAATTACCAAAATACCCTTATAAGTCAAACTTTGTCAACCCTTGGTCAAAGACAAAGTCAACGGTCAAGGTCAACAGTCCATGTTGACCCAACTCGTCGAGTTCATCCACTAACTCGTCAAGTTCCTCCAGAAATTGAAAACTAGGGCCAACTCGTCGAGTTACCTGAGTATCTCGTCGAGTTCCTTCAGAACTTCAAAACCAAAAACTCGAGTCGAATCGCTGAGTTACCTGAGTAACTCGTCCAGTTCTTCAGTGTCAAGAAGATTGGGAAAACCCTCATCAACCCGCCGAGTCATCTCACCCACTCGCCGAGTTCACTTAGAGTCCAAAAGGTGGGTAAACCCTAACCATGTCATCAATTTGGCTTATGCAACTCGTCGAGTTCCTTCAGCCCGTTTCTTATTCAGACGATCCTGAGAGAAACCAAGGCTCTAAATTGTAGATATATCATCCTAGGGTGTAGTTATCACATAAACTTGCCAACTTGACATGCATCCAAGGCCTGAAAGGGATTAAAACACTAGAACTAAGCTTAACAAGAGATTTAGGGCATGGAAGAGGGCCAAAAGTAGATAAAGTGGGCAACTTTATGTTCATGGAGGCCTAAAGGTGTCCAGATCTGAAACCACATCCTCTGGACAAGCTCAAATCCTAGAATGACCCCATTTTGCACCAAAAATGACCACATACTTCCATAAGAGGATATCTAAGAAATAGAAAGCCAATGTAAAGACTTTTTACCTCCAAATGGTTACTAACACAAAGTAGATGTCGGATCTATTGTTTCTCCTTTTCTCCAACCACTTCAAACTTCAAAACTCTTCCAAAAGAGAACAAAAATGACCTTCTAAGCTCACACACACAAAGAAGTAGTAAAGCATGGATAGGGTTTCCTTCCCTGGGTAACGAGGTGATAAGGGAGGCCAAAGAATGCGGGTTAAGTCCTTTAAATAGGGTGCAAACCCTAAAAATTAGGATTTTCATGCACAGCCTCAACTCATCGAGTTGGGTCCTCCAACTCGTTGAGTTGGTTCCATAAACCACGTGGCATGATCAGTTTCTACATAACGAGTTGGGGGCAACCAACTCGTCGAGTATGGTCTAAAAATGTGAATTTAAAAATATTAAATGAATATCTGGGAATCGGGATGTTATAAGGTGGGATGTGGGGGTATTTATGGGGGACTTACTGTCATTATACCATTAAAATTGTTTTTGAGTGATGGAAAATATTTTTGTCATCATTTTATAACTCTATTACTTATGAGAGAAAATTTAGCCATATTATCTTACATAAGATCAATAGATGCATGTGACCAAATTAATAAAGTATACTTTTGCAATATATTAGGATTAAGGACTGTGATAAGCACACAAAACACAATCACACAAAAATTTAAAGATGCAAAGGAAAATAAAGAACACAAGAATCTAACGTAGTTCAATTTTTGATGGGTTTTTATTCAAAACTACTTTCAAAAACATGATTTTAGGCAACTGAAGACTTGATAATTTGAATAATATAAAGAGTAAATTACATGAATGGTCCCTATGGTTTAGGGTAATTTGCACATTTGGTCCTTAACTTATTCTTTTAACTCGGAAGGTCTCTATTGTTTGTTTTTGTTATGTGTTTGGTCCCTATCTTACCTAAAAAGACTATTTTGCCATTGATTTTTTAATTTATTTAAATAAACACACTCCCAACCTTATCTACCCCATAATTTTTTCCTATTTAAATAATAGTTTTTTTAGGTAAGACAAGGACCAAGCGCGTAACAAAAACAAACAGTAAGGACCAAAAGCGTAACAAAAATGAAAAGTATGGACCTTCTGAGTTAAAAAAATAAGTTAGGCACCAAGCATGCAAATAACCCCAAACAATAAGGACCATTTGTGTAAGTTACTCTAATACAAAACAAGTTTATACCCACGAATGATCATCTTTCAAGTTGTAGAAATATTTAAACACCAACCAAAGAAGAGATAAAGAAATGACAACCCTTGTAGTTCTTTGGATCCTCTTGGGATGCTTGGAAATTGATGAAGAATGATAAAATTTATGGACACCAACAATGACTCAACTTGTTGTAGAATGCTAGTTATTTTGTATAAAACTCTTAAGACTCTTAGACTTTATGTTCTTATCAAAACAAGAACACCAAGAGAGCATAAGATGCAAGTAATCTTCAAGACTTGAGAATAAGAGAGAGAGAGAGAGAGAGAGAGAGAGAGACAGAAAGAGAGAGAGAGAGAGAGAGAGAGAGAGAGAGAGAGAGAAAGAGAGATAGCACATGCATATAAGCATGTTACGGTTTTTTGTAATGAAAACAACAAGCAAAAAGCTAGCAAGTTATTCAACCAAAAGCAAGGTATTTATCTATTGAGTCTTGTGCTTAAAGACACAATGTCCCTAGCAACAAAAGTCTATAAAAGCAAGAGCATGGCTTTGTGGATAAATTAATACAAGCATGTCGTTCACTAGCTTTCTTGTTCCTCCATCAATTTTTGGCTTTTTAAGATATAAAAAAGAAATCATGAGTTTTATATTTTATAAATCAAGTTTATAAAATATAAACTTTAACTTTTTGGTAAAATACAAAAGAATTTATTTAGTCCAAAATGTTGTGCATGACTTATTAACTCATACCATATGAATTATGTAATATTACTTGCTAATAAAAATTATTATTTGCAATAAATAATTAATTTCCAATTAATTATAAGAGATTATTGAATATTTATTAAAATAAATTTCTAATAAATAATCAATTATATCAAATTGTTATTAGTTTGACTCATTAGTATCATATTTTAATTATCAATATCATTTTTATATGATTCTTGAGCATACAAAATCCGTCAACTCCGTCACAGAAATCAAGCTATGTGTTTTGGACGAACTAGAGAGATTTTATTAATAATACCCATTGCTTACGATATTAGGGTTAAATTCATACAAGTGACTATATTTATAAAGATAACTTAACCTAAATTTTTTAGGGAATACACCTAAGAAATGTCGCCTACAAATCTGGCCTATTGCATGAGCACTGCAATAATACGTAGTAGGCGCTTATACTAGAGTTGTAGTCGCCAACACTAAAGTACTTACACTACAGCTATACACCATAATGTTTACATTACAACTATATACTATAGTGATTCCTTACATACTTACATTCTAGTTGCCCTAAAATGTTACTCTGCATCCATGGAATTTAAACGATAACTCGTGTTTAGTCTGTATAGTGGCAATGAGTTCAAAGGGGAGATCATACTTCACAAATTAATAATCTCATGATTGGAGGCTGATAAACCAATGTATTTCCATCCAAACTTGTATCCCCTATCTATCTATTTTGTTCATTCTTTATGACTATTGGGAAGGTCGGTTGAAGCCATCCATAGTTATTATCACTACCTTGGTAAACATGCCTGCTAGATTCTTCATATCAAGGAACTTCTTCAAGTTGAGGGTACCATTGGTTATCCATTCCGTGGTAAAGTGATACCTTATATGAATGTGTTTCATTTTTTTTATGAAACACCTATTTCTCTAAAAAGTAAACTACACTTTGGTTATAACAATGCATGACATAGTCTTCTTGTTTCATGTCCAATTTTGATAAACTTTGTCAACTGTATAATCTCTTTAGAAGATTCTAAAATTCTCATATACTCATTAAAATTGATAAAGTAATATTTTTCTAAAGTTTGGACTTTGAACTAACGACTTTAACCCTACTGGTAAACTCATAACATGTTGTGCCTTTCCTTGAATCTGCACAACCTCCTAGATATGCATTTATGAAAACATGTAAGAACACCTTTTAATCCTATCTTTTATATGGTGGTATCTTTTTCAAGACCAAAGTCGGGTCACACAACAACATGACCCAAAACTATCCAATTACATCTTTCTTAAACTAAATAAATATGAACTTTCCCTATTTACCTTATATGTTTATCGTTTATGAATTTTTATTCTCTAATCCCTATCTTTTTTAGTCTACAACTTTAACACATAATCATATGATATTGAAACTGTATTTAGGTTCAAATCCCTTATTTGGAGGCTTAAAATGTGCACTATCGGTGTTCGGCAAAACAGACAGCATCTGGGTTGAAGGCGAAGGGATGCTTCATGCTCTACATTTCACTAAAGATTCGGAAGGAAATTGGAGCTTTTACTACAAAAATAAATATGTGGAAACAGAAACATATAAGATGGAATCACAAAGAAAGAAACCTACTTTTCTTCCTGTAGCAGAAGGAGATGCTCCAGCTGCTTTAGTTGGATCATTTTTCAACATGGTAAGATTTCCAAATTTTATGAAATGTCATCTCCATCATCTACAGAAAACTAATAGCTAACCATAACCAATGCAATTATGGGACCATTTTAACCAACTTTAATGGGAATTTTTTTTTATTGGCTATACACCCAATAACCTAAACCATGATGAATGAGGGTTCTACCAAGACATGTATCTTAGTAATAAGATACTTAGTAGTATAACATTTTTTCCAACAAAACCATAAATAAAAGAAGATTTTGAAAAATAGGACAAAAACCAATCATACCAACTCCAAGAACTTAACTATAAATATATTCCTTAAGCCTATAAGATTCCAGATTTAAGGCTTGACTTCACGTTGCAGTTGACAAACATTACATAAGTGTATTGCAAGAAAAACGTTAAACTACAACCATCACAACATTGTTTATCTACTTACTTTATTTTCTGACTTTGGCAGTTAAGATTTGGTCATGTCTACAAAATTATAAGCAACACCAATGTTTTTGAGCATGGTGGAAAACACTATTCTATCTCCGAGGACTATTTGCCACATGAGATTGATCTTATTAGCCTTGAAACTTATAACGACTGGAACCCAAGTGGAATTTGGTCTCGACCTTTCACATCACACCCAAAGGTTAGTAGATTTATGCATGATGGTCTATTTTATCTTTCGACATAATCCACACATAATGGGTCCAACGCTTTCAGCACTACACTCTTTAAAATACATGATCACATAAAATTGATTTTTTTAATGTAGACAGCACCAGGAACCGGGGAACTGGTTATAGTAGGGGTTGAGCCATCAAAACCATATTGTGTTGTGGGTGTCATTTCAGGTACTTCAACAAATAACTAATGATGTATAGCGCTTGGGTTATTTATTCTTTTTCTAATAACTTCATATTAACAGTCGATGGAAAAGAACTTGTTCACAAATTGAATCTACAGCTAGACCATTGCTCACTTTTTCATGAAGTAGGTGTCACAAAGAGGTGAGTTTCCTCAGTTCCTATTTTTAAGTCCTCGGTTCCTATTTATAAGTTTGGTTGCAGAAATATGACATACTTAAATGCATTTTTACACGTGATGGTTAGGTACAACATACTGGTTGATTCTATGTTTACATTGAGCCTAGAGAGGGTAATGAAAGGAGGCCAGTAAGTACCATTGTGAATTTAATTTGTGATGAAAATACTTGAAGCAATACTTGGATTGACTACTTTAAATTTAAAGCAGAGTAAAATCAGTGAAAGAAAAAAGAAAAACAGAGAACACACTTACTCTTATCGGGTTATATTCTGGTACAAAAAAAACAAAATATAGACTCTTTTAACTGATAAATACAATTTACATGTCTTACATAAGGGGAAATGAAAACACTACAAAGATGATGATTAATAAACTTTTTCAGACCCTAAACCACTGTTTGTTGGGCTCAACTCGTCAACTTTGGCTTTCTTCTTTCTATTTTCATTTGGGTTTAGCCCCAACAACATTTCCATATATATGCACAAGAATTTGACACTCTCAACCACACATCCACTTTTTCTAAAAAAAATATTAAAAAATTCCATGAGTAAAAGGAAACATAAAAATTGGTTATTGGTGTTAGGTTATTTAAGTACGAGAGGGAGAGAGATGCAAGGATTGCAGTGATTCCTCGGTATGGTGATGCAGAATCAATTAAGTGGTTTCATATAGAACCTTGTGTTACTTATCACCTAATGAACTGTTTTGAAGATGGGGATGAGGTGCTTATTTTATATTTATGTTATAGCGTCATTAAACTTGCCCATTATTAGTTTCAATAAAAAAATATTCAAAGTCTTCTTGACACTAACATGATCTATGAATTTATTTGTTCCACAAAATAGGTTATTGTGAGAGGATGTAAAGCTAATGCATCCATTCTTCCAGGACCTGATTGGGGAGAAGATAAATTTGAGTGGTTCTCTAGAGGATTTGATTTTAAATCTGTTGACAGAAATAATGGGCATGATCATAATACAGAAACAGGACATGGAATGTTGTTTACTAATGTTAGGGAATGGAGATTGAACATGAAGACCATGGATGTGAAAGAGAGAGATGTAACTGGAACAGAATACTCAATGGACTTCCCAATGATCAATGCAGATTTTACAGGTCTTAACCATAAATATGGATACACCCAGGTTATCGACTCTATTGCAAGCTCTAAATCAGGTAACTAATTTACAGTTCTCTTACAATTGACATGGCTCGTAATCATATTGTTAATTTAAAAAATAGCTCTCTGAAAAACTCCGATCTAAAATAAGTAGACTAGGAGCTTGAAAACGTTCAATTTCCCCTCCATTATTGCGATATTGATAATCCATAGAACCACCCATAGATGCAATATTTAAGCTTGAAACCTGCTACAAGTTTGTAAACAAGGAATAAAAATATGTTTCAGGAAGAACTAAATATGGAGGACTAGCAAAATTATACTTTGAAGAAACAGATGTTGAAGGAAATGTAAAGATGGAGTATCATTGGTTACCAAAAAATAACTTTTGCACAGGAAGTGCTTTCGTGGCTAAGCTAAAGGCTGTAGAGGAAGATGATGGTTGGATTGTTACATTTGCTCATGATGAAGAAAATGACATTTCTTATGTACGTATCATCAAATATCATCCACTACCCTTCTGCTATTAGATATTTCCGTATAAATAAACATATGAATTGATGATGTTATCTTTTTATATGTGTTTTTCCTTTGAGGTCACAGGTAATAGTAGTTGATGCTAAAAACCTTAGGCATGAGCCTATAGCAAAAATAAACCTCCCTCAACGTGTGCCATATGGTCATCATGGAGTTTTCTTTTCATCGACATAAACTAGGACTGGAATCTATCAAAGACATTGGAAGTTATTCTATGAACTTCTCTGAAGGTAGCGGATGATCATGATTAGTACGTACTAGCAATAAAACATTCATCTTGTATATTCTTATAATATATTGAACTATTTTTTTTTTATCTTGTCTAATATCAATTTTTATTTGGTGGAATTTGTGTATTATGCCCTATTGGTCTTTCCGCTTTTAAAGAGGAAGCCTATATATTTTAGTTTCTATGATTTCTTGTCCCATCTTGCTCTATAAGTTCTAATAAGGCTTTAAGCTTGGTTCGTCAGTATCCTTCAACTTTTTTTAGGAAAGAAAGATTGGTGAGGCGATATCTTTCATTTCTGGTGTAACTTAATTTATGCTCAAAAGGTAATATGTAGTATTTAGTATGTAACATGCATGTGTATGTGTTTGTGTTTGTTAGTGATAACAAAATCATTGTGATTTATCTTTTACTTGGTGTATTTGTTTATTTTTGTTGCACACCAATTTTTCGTATGAAATGCCTACATGAAACATTAGTTAGTTATTTTTTTTTAATCTGATTGAGCCACTTATATGTTTTGCTATCAAGATTATTATGTTTTGGATATATAATTTGATATCTCATGCTTGGTTTAGTTTGCTTGGATGAGATTAATCAAACATCGAGCCCCATGTTCATGAAAGGTAAGTTTAATCTTTTTAATGCTTTATAAACCTTCATATGAACAATAAACGAAAAGGTAAATTTATTTTTTACTTTAGTTTTTTTTTATTAATCAAGTCTTGCATTATTTACGCATGGTTCATGTTTTGTTCACAAAATACTAACATTAAGCTGTTTCTTTGAGTGTTATTGAGTTCACTTTACATTATTTGAGTTATGAAAACATGAAGGATGGTTTCTGAAACCTTAGTGAAATGTCGGAAGTTATTTATTTGGGTTGTGAGTCTTTATGTTTAAATATTTAATAGAGAAATGCTTAAGGACTGTTACAACCTCTAGTTAGTAAATTCTTTGATCATCTTATAGATGTGTGGATGCCCAAATCTTTTCTTTATGTTTATAATGAGGTTTTCTATTATTGTCGATGATTGAATGGCTTTTGCATGGTTCTTTATGTACATTGATGAAGGCTTTTTGTGAAATATGTATTTTTATGCTTTTGTAAGTGTTAACCTTGAAGCCTTATGACTGAATCATTTAGGTAGACTAGCTAGGAAAGATGCTAATAACATGATTTCATCTAATTTGTGGATATTATTAAATGGACTATCGTCTTCTTTTGCAGATAATAAAACAAATATTATTGCTTAACAGAAAAGTCAAACAAATTTTATTGTGATAGTCCATTATAGGATGTTTAAGTCGATACAATATATATCTTTATTTCAGTGGTTGAAAAATCGATTGGAGAGTATACAAATGGATCACATGGATTTAAAATCAATTAGTCCCCGATTAATGGGGATTATATATGGAAAATCAATTGAAGAGTATACAAATGAACGAGGATAAACATATGTCTAAGAGTTTAGGCGGGAAAACTCATTTCACGATTAATCACAAGACGACATGTATCGAATTTATCTTTCTTTAACCACGGTTACAAAATTAATTAAACATTCATAATAAAATTTAATAATTATTAATCAATGATTTTAAATAAATAATTTTAAATAAATTATTAATTATTAATTAAGAGATATATCAAATTTTTTAAAGTTGTTATAACTTCAAAATTAACATATAATTAGAAAATGTAAATTTAAATTTTGAAGTGAGTTGACTAATATATCTACATAACAAATAACATAATATTAATGAGGGTGTTGTATGAGAATAACACTTGACAAATGGAGGTTAAAACTATTCTTTTATTATAAAAGGGATTTCAATATTAAAATAATATATTTACTTCTAATTATAAAGTTATGTTTTTTTAACTTTTAACATATTATACTTAATTTATTATTTTTAATATATTGTTAGATGTAAACCATTATTATTTTAAAACTACACTTTTGAACAATTTGTATAAAATACTTAAATTATAAATTTAAATATAACATTACAGGATCAACGTATACAACTATTGCAGATCGTGGTAACCTATGTCCCATGTTGTGACACAGGTTTTTCCTAAAAACCCCATCTTTGATCTCAGTAAGTCTTTAGTTGATCCACTTTAGAAAACAGGTGTTACAGCTCTTATGAGCAAACTATCATCATAAATCCCCTTAATTAACAAATTCAATAGAAAAGTTTCAAGTATATAGCTTACAACCTATCATTTAGTGGTCATTTTACAATGCGAAGCGGTTTTAGGTAACGATCCTTCCTAAAACATATCCATGAGTACTTCTTGAAGAATCATTCCTAAGCGGTTTTAGGTAGTGATCGATCTTTCATTTTCTTATCTTCAGTCCAAGGAGTTTGAGCTTTACCTCCCTCCAAATCCAATGTATCATCATAGTTAACTTGAGCCAAAAGAGCTCTCATAACATTTTCTTAGAGAAAACCCGATGTCACAATCCAAAGGTGGAAGATCGTACTTCATGGAATTCATGAAATAAGTCGATTTATAACTTGTAAAAGGTTAAAAAGAAAATTGAAAATAGGGTGTAACTTTATAGGATAAAAATTATTTAGCACGTAAGAAATTCAGAGTGTGAAAAAATCGATTAGGGTAAGGAAGTATAGTATGTATGTGTGTGTGTGTGTGTGTGTGTGTGTGTATATATATATATATATATAGTCAAGATCAAATAAGAAGAAAAATTTGGTAGGAAGGTAAGAAGTTTTTTTTCTACATATTTTTTTAGTGAACATACAAAATGAATCATTAGATGATTCAAAGGTAAGATGATTCACAAGAAAAAATTCCCAAAAAAACATCTTCATGATTCATTTTTAAGTAAATTAAGAAAAAATTCACTTTTATGACAATTTTAGTGAATAACAACGAAATCATTGTATAAATGAATCATCGGTGTGTTTTTTTGAGATTTTTTTTTGGTGAATCATGTTATTTTTTATTCATCTAGTGATTCATTTTTTTTTTTTTGTTCGTCAGAAAAGTATGTAGAAAAAAAGTTTCTTACCTTCCTACCAAAAAAAATTTCTTACCGGATCTATATCATATATATATATATATATATATATATATATATATATAGAGAGAGAGAGAGAGAGAGAGAGTAAAATCGATTACGGAAAGCTCTTTGTAAGGTTTACAAAAACCGATTATGGTTGGGAAGAAAGACAACCAAGAAATAACCATGTTAGGGTTTATGAACTAAAGTCGACTATGTGATTGTGGGTTTTTTGGAGTATAGATTGTCATACCACTTTTTTCTGTGTTGTGAATAATAGATCACATGAAATCTCAAACAAATAACACACGGATTTTGAGTAAAAATCCAAAGAGGGAAACAAAAGTGTTGTTATTAATTAGAAGGTTACAAAAGTCTTAATTGATCTCTAACATAAGAGAAAGAAAAAAAGGAGAGAATGAATGAAAATTTGGATCCAGTGTTTGCCTTGAACAGAAAATGACAACGGATGTGACACTTACTAATGGGAACTGATTTGTACACAACACTTTTTCTCCGCACACAACAATTTATGCTTTAAAGTGTTGTATTGTACAACTTTATAATGCATAAATTGTTGCGTACGGCAAAAAATTGTTGTGTACGAATCACTTCCCCTTACTAATGCAATACTTTAGGAAATGTTGCCTAAAACTAGAAAACAACTTGTATGCAAGTTAGTTTGGGTTTTTGAGCATCATTTAACATATACTTAACAATGGTACTTGTCAAAATTATTTATTTGCAGAAAAACTTCGCTCCAGTTGAGGAGATTGGGGAACTTATAAAGATTGATTATTGTCAAGGCAAAATTCTAGAAGATTTTCCGGAGGGCGTTTACATTAGAAATGGTGTTTACTTCTTAACTTCCTTTATATGATACGTACTTTCACCAATATTTTCTTATGCTAAGTTATGTATTTTGAACTTGAAACTTTTTCAATCCTAACTTTTTTCAAATCAATTACTGATTGCATAATTGTTTTGTATTTTGAACTTGAAAACTTTTTCAATCTTAATTACATTTATTTAAGAATAAAAATGTTTCCATTTTCTTATTGAAGATTCAATGCCCAATGAACTCCAAGTTGGCATCCAATAATGGTTAAGTATAATTCATTGAATGTCAACTAGACATTTCACGTCATTCAACTTTGATCCAAAAATGAAATTGTATGCAGGTTCAAATCCCTTATTTGGTTGTTTAAAATCCACAATCTCATTATTCGGGAAAACAGACAACGTATGGGTTGAAGGTGAAGGGATGCTTCATGTTCTACTGCACTTCATTAAAGACACAGATCAAATTTGGAGCTTTTATTATAAAAATAGATATGTGGAAACCGACACATATAAGATGGAATCAAAAAGGAAGAAACCTACTTTCATTCCTGTAGCAGAAGGAGATGCTCCAGCTACATTTGTTTAGGGTTCCTAAAAAAGTATCCAAAATATGTTTTCAGGGAAATCTAAATATGGAGGACTAGCAAAATTATACTTTGAAGAAACAGATGGTGAAGGAAATGTAAAGATGGAGTATCATTGGTTACCAAAAAACAACTTTTGCACAGGATCTACATTTGTGGCCAAGCCAAAGGCAGTAGAAGAAGATGATGGTTGGGTTGTTACTTTTGCTCATGATGAAGACAGTGACACTTCTTATGTATGTACCATTAAACACCCTCTATTATTACATAAACACCCAAATGTAACGAGTTGTCTCTTTACATGTTGTTTTTCCTTTATGGTCACAGGTACTAGTTGTTGATGCTAACAACTTTGGGAATGAGCCTATTGCTATAATAAACCTCCCTCAACGCGTGCCTTATGGTCATCATGGATCTTTCTTTTTGTCTACATAACCAACCAGCGGAATCTACCAGCCTTATGAAGTATTTTTTTTTTAATATTTTATATTTGAATATGATCAACTTCTTTTATAAACTTGTGTTGCTGAATGAACATTTCATGGTTAACATAATGCACTCCAGCCCAAGAAAATGGTTGGTGTTTCCCAAATCTTTAATAGGAAATTCATCATTGAGAAAGCGCTAGCGATAGTTTTGCATCCGAAATTTATCCATAGACATGTTTTTCACCAATAGATATCATAAAGATTCTATTTACAGTGTTCAAATCAGACCACCTTTACTTTGCATTTTTTAAATCATAAAATAAACTCCACTTAATGGGAAACACATTTAAACAGAACAAAGCAACTATTTTTAAGTTTTAAGCACTGCCCTTGATGACTGCATCAGCATCATCATAATCAGTGGTGACACCATCAGCTCCTTTAACATCATCAAAGTAGTCTTCTCTTGCATTATCAGCCAACATAAGTGAAACCAACCAGAAAAGAGCCGAATCAAGAGCTAAAAAAGCACCTCCACCAAGCAACCCTGTTTTGGCTGTAGGGCAGCTTGTTTCAAGGTTATAATGGACATTACTCACAAGGTGTTTGTGTTCTGTTATCGTGGGCCACAACAGCATTGTAGCTGCCAATCCAGTTGAACCCCTGTGCACATGTCACAAAATTTATAAAAATGTTGCTATTGATTAATGGTTTTAATTTTTAATATGGAAGTAAGGTGTAAGATTAGGGTGATGTGTACTTACAAAGCTATAAGGAAAAATACAAAGAAACTTGTGCTTTGAAACAATGCGGGCCATGGGATTGACTTCCCTTTGTAAGGGTAAAATAGAGATAACCCTCCAGCCAATGTTGAGGCAACAAGAAACCCAAATGATAGATACCCCAAGGCAACTGTGGGGTCCGCTGGATACTTGCAGATAACTACGTCTTTTCCTGTTATTGGAGTTCCAGATGCAGGCTGCATAAAGAAATTTTCATCATAAATATCATGGAAGTACAAAAAATATATAGTTTTTCCTTGTTTTATGCTAATGGCCTATTGAGATTTTATGAATATATTAAAACAAAGAAGAATGCCTTCTTGTTTTCAGCAATAACACCAAATATGAAGGACAAGGTGCCAAGGGCTCCCACAATCAATGACATTTGTTTAGTAGTAACGGCCATTGCACCTTAAAGACTTTGATTCCCTGCAATTAAAATTGAAATTGAAGAGTTTAAATTAAACAAAGGGAAAATTCAAGAAATCAAAAGCTTATTTCAAGAAAGGCTGAAACGTAAGGATGTTGTTATTGTTGATTAATTACTTGTATGTATTTCAGATCTCTGTTTTGGAAAAAGAACCAGAAAAAAGACACCCGTGTTTATTAAAAAACCACCCACATTTAGTCTCTAAACGTGCTGCAATTCCTACACCTCGAAGCACATGGATGAACATAATTTCATTTAAAAGTTAAACCGATAATGCGAATTAAATTAGAGAGTGGTTTTTCATAAAGTTGGGCGGAAACCTCCGTCAATTTAAAAGTTCAAGATTTAACAATCCAAGAAGTTCAAGGGTAGCTTGCTTCTGGGAATGGAATGAAGATCCAAATGGATAAGAAGAAACGATAATCCTCAAACCATATAACACATACTATTGAGCAAAGATTCTGATTTCATGATCGTTTGAATGATCCAAGAAACATCATAATTAATTAAAACTTGACTAACGATTTGCACTAAAAGCCACATAAACATATGTTTAAAGCAGATTTTGAGTGATCAAATCAATTCGGGAGAAGTAAAGAGTAGCCCGTTTGACATCTAAAAAAAATATCTAAACCTACTTCTTTTTCAGAAAAATGTTCACAGCACGAACTAGTGATCAAACCACGCAGATTATTACATACATATGCATATAGCAAGAACCAAAAATTATCATAAAAATATACAGAATCCAGAAGTCAAAGATGCATTACTATGTTCACAAATACACACCAATTTGACTAATTAAAACTCCAAAATTGACATTCAAAGATGAATTCCCAGTCTGAAGAGTAATATCTAAATTGATAACACGAAATCCCTATTTATATCTGCAAAAATTCATCTCAACAAACAAACCGCAAGCAAGATCCACATATGAGAAAGCTTACCAGAGTCAAGTTGAACGAACTATTCTCTGAGAATTAAACTAGAATTGAGTTTTTATAGGACCCAGATAGATAACAAGAGAAAAATTATCAAAACCCGGAGAGAATTCACATACCAAGAATCTTTGGAGTTTGATAGAAATCAAATAGCTCGGATACGTACCAAACCAATATAAGGGAACGAATCTCGGGATGGGATAAAAGATAAAGCGAAATCAAAGGAATCAGCTATTGGGATAATTTAATAGTCAACGATAGTAGAAGCCCACGAAAAAAATGGGATAATCACCAAGAAAAGGAATATTGTAAAATAACTATTTTTCATATTTTAAAATATTAAATTAAAAAAAAAAGTTATAAAATTTTTTTTAACACATATCAATAGTTTTTGTACTTGTCATTTTGTGGTATTTTTTAATAAATATTTTTTTCATTTGTTATTTTCTTTTTTTTATCTTTATTAATTAACACATCATATTTTCACTTTAATTAATAATTGTTTTAATTAAAAATAACCAATAAATTAAAATATTACAACTCATATAGTATTTAATATATTTCCTTTTAAATTCAAATTTTAAATTTCAAATTTAAATAAATTTTTGTTTAAACCTTCATTTTTTTTTTATCCAACCCGTATAACATACGGGTTTCACAACCAGTAAAATATAAATATTAAGTATTTTGTTAAAGAAAACGTTGAATATAAAAGTATGAACATTAGTTATTTTTTTAAAATAAAGTTTCAAAATAAATACAAATAAAGTGATGAATAGATAAATAATTTAATTTATACTAATAAAACAACTATAAATAAAATAATTATATTTTGATCATATTTTAGTTTTATCAATGAAAACAATAAAATTTGATTATTTTTCTTATGTAGACAATTTTTGCCTAGAATGATAATAAAGTTTGAAAGAAATATGCATATTTGAATTATATATAGAAAGAAATATATTAAAATATGAAAATATAAGGAAGCAAATTAATAACACATTATTATTTTCTATAACCTAAAAACCAAAATAGCAAATTAAGAAAATTAAAGTTATTACAAAATGACAAGTGGAAATTAATGTCTGAGAATTAATCATAAATTTATGTATCAAAATACATGAGAATGTGACAAATGATAGAATTTGTTTTTATTTATTAGAATAGATATTTTCCATTTATTATCATATTTAATATTTTTCTTGTATAAATATTACTATTATATGATATTTTAATTTAGAAAAAAAAAACACACAAAATTACATGTGGCAAAATTCTTGAGAATTTGACAATGGATAACAAAATGATCATTATTTATTAAGATAAGTTTAATACTTTACATATATAAATATTTTCTATTTTTATCATATTTAATACTTTATATATATAAATAATTTTATTAAAAAAACCCATAAAATTATTTGTAGTAAAACTCATGAAAAATTAACAATTGGCAACAAATGATATTTATTTATTAAGATGAATTTAATACTTTATATATATATATATATATATATATATATATATATATATATATATATATATATATATATATATATATATATATATATATATATATACACACATTAATACTATATGACATTTTAATTTATGAAATCCTTAAAAAAACATGTGGAATTAAATTTATTCAAGCAAATCACAAAATTATATGTGAAAAAAACTCTTTAGAATTTGACAAGGGGCAACCAATGATCTTTATTTATTAGGCTATTCGGAGTGGCTTCGGCATCTTATTCAGCATTTTTGGCGAACACCAGGCCGAGGCCGAGGCCGAGGCTGAGGCATGTCGAGCTCGGCTCGACAACTCAGTGATATTTCACCGATGAGAGAGAAACGATTTTCTTTTTTTACCCATTAACTCACATTCCTTTTCAAAAAAATGTCTTATGTGCAAAATATATAACCTTTTTTTTCAAAATTTCAAATTTTAAACCCTCAATTTTCAACTATAAATATCATCATCCATATTTATTATTCACCCCATTTAAATCTTCTTAATTCGATTCTCTTAACTTTCTTATTGTTCGTCTTCTTCTAAACATCATCACTAAAAATGGCTCGTGTTTGACCTCCTGAAAAAGAGATGTTACCCGCTTGTTTATTGATTGAAGTAACAGAAGATTCAATCCACATTAATGACAATTCGCGTAGTTTTCGAGGGAGAGTCGTCGAAACATTCAACAGTCAAGCCCATATTCCTCGAAGTAAAGATCAACATTATTTGTTTAATTACATATGATCCTCTCTCTCTCTCTCTCTCTCTCTCTCTCTCTCTCTCTCTATATATATATATATATATATATATATATATATATATATATATATATATATATATATAAAGAAACGAAAAAATTTAAAAATGAAAGAAAAATGTTAAAAACATTTAAACCGAGTATATATCTATTTATTTTATTATTATTATTTTGAATTTTTTTTCTTTTAACGAAATTTATAAATAAATAAATGAAAATGATAAAAAAAATTAAAAAAACACACACTACACTTAGATGACGTTCCATGAACGTTCGTCACACGTGATTAAATACTTGTGTTCGTATTAGTTATTACGAACGTAGGTCGCATGCGAACGCACTACGGTCAAGTGTTTGGGTTTAACATTTGTGTCATTGTCTAAATGGATGGTTAAGAATTGTTATCGCAGTCCTCACCGGAATCGGACCCTATATATATATATATATATATATATATATATATATATATATATATATATATATATATATATATATACACACACACACACACACTATGGGTGAGCATTTTGAGCCGTATATCGGACCGAACCAGTGAATCGGAGCGAATCGGACCTATACCTGGACATTTTTTTGGACCCCCAGGCCGGTTCTCGTTTCTAGGATTTGATCAAATCCAGTCTGGTTTTTTTGCCGGTATGGTACAGCTAGAGCTGGCAAAAATTGATTCAACCCACCAACCTAACCCGAACCCAACCCAAAATTAGCAGGTTGGGTTGATATTTTCAACCCATTTAAGTCAAACGGGTCAACCCGTCTAACCCATTTAATTAAATACGTTGGATCGGGTAAAAATTATCAACATATTTTCAACTCACCAACTCATTTAACTTTAATTTGTATTTAATTTAATAATTATTTAAACAGTATCATGTAATAATATTAGTTTATATATTTCAATGTGTGTATTATTATTTATGTTTAAAAAAATGGAATCCTAATTCCTATCTTTTTTCTTATCACCAACAATACTAGCCACTCTCCAAAATCACTTAGAAATTACATTTGTTTAATGTTATTTGAACAATTTCTTTGTATATGTAAATTATAATTGTACTTTGAGATTTTATTTACGTCTATAACTAGTTTAAGTGGTGTAATCTTTAGTTAATTTATATATTTATTTTTATTTTAAATGGTCAACTCGGTAACAACCTATTTATTTGAAATGTTCGATTAGATTGGAAATATTAACCTATTTAAATAAATAGGTTGGGTTGGGTTGAAATCTTCAACCCAATTAATAAATTGGTTGAACCCAAACCCAACCCAGATCGACCCATTGTCAGTTCTAGGTACAGCCGGTTCTGGGTAAAATCGGTTTTAAACGTGATTTAAAATTGTGTATTCTGTGAAATTCTTTAAACAAGCATATCTCATTCGTTTTAAATTGGATTGACATTCGGTTTTTTCAAACGTGTAATTTAGAGTTTGTAGATGATTTTAGACTATAATTTTGTTATTTTTGGAGTTATATTCAATTAATTACAATCCTTCAAAGTTGGGATATCAAAACTGAAATATTTCAACTTTTCGGTAAGAAATTTAAACTTTTGTGATCTGTGAAATTCTTTTAAACGATCATTTCTCATTTGTTTTAAGTCGGATTGAAATGCGATTTTTTCCAACATGTAGTTTAGAGTTTGTAGATAAGTTTAGACTATAGTTTTGTTATTTTTAGAGTTATATTCAATGAGTTACAATCCTTCAAGGTTGGGAT